ACTTTCTTTCTTTAAATAGAATCTGTTCTGTTTTGGGTCATTCCCCCACCACCACCTGCACCGTGGTGACTCCGTCCAATAAATACTGGACTGCACACCACAAGGTCAGCAGTCAAACGCATCACCCTCTTTACAGAAAAAAGATGGGACTTTCTGCTCCTTCAAAGATTTAAAGTCTTGAAAACCCTATAAAGCGTTGGTATGAGTTGGAACCAAGTTGACGGCACTTACAAATAACTACAACATCTGCTTCTAATTGTTAACAAGCAGAAAAAGAAAAGCTCATTAATAAAGTTTACTCTTTTTCTAGTTGTGTTCCTCCACAGTTTAGGTCTCTTCCTTTGGGAAGCCTAATTACGTAATGGCCTCAGGAGTTTCTAGCCCAGGTGACATTTTCATTTTGATAATTTAATATAGATGGGTAGATTGCACCAGATTACATTATATTTGAAATTTTTCTGAGTAGAAAAAAAATCCTCCAAAACTGAACAACCTATTCATGTATTTAGTGTCTACATGTGATTTTGAAAGTATAATATATATTTTGTAGCATTCATTAAAAAACCACTTTTTGTTAAGTCTAGTGCTAACTTCCTTTCATTTTTTTTTTTGTTGTTGTAGTTGAGGCAGTCCCAGTCCTACTGCACAGACACAGAATGTCTTCAGGAATGTAAGTAACGATGGGACAGGACAAAACTTTGTACTGGGAATAGAATTATAGGACAGATGACTGAATATTTGTTTAGAAATTATTCTTACATTTTTCTCTTTATGGAAATATTTTTCAGTTGTGTATAATATGTTCATCACTTAAATATTTCATTTTTAATTTGAGAAGTTGAGTTTTCCTTCCTCAAAATCAAAATTGCACTGAAACCAAAATAACCACTGGAAAAAAAGGTAAAATCATACTTACGGAAAACTTTCAGCATATTATTATGTAAAGGTAACTTTTGTTAACAACTTGGTGTATACCCTTCCACACTTTTTTCTTGGCAAATCAGTGTATAGCCAAGAACTGCGAGCCTTGAACTGGAACATCACTGCTGCCAACAGAAACCTCTCACCCTTCCCCAAACACCTAGTTATCTCCATTAGCCAACTTGGGAATTTCTTAGTGTGGAAAGGAGGCCATTCTGTCCCAAAGTTTGGGGAGCTTGGGAATCTCTGGAGTTCATTCCTTTGGCTCACTTTCCCATGAGTCCATGTGCAGTGCTGATGGTAAAATGAGAGTTAGGGTCGGAAGAAGATGATCCGGCATAGTGAACATAACTAACAGACTTCCCTATGACCATTATATGAGGCATCCTTTTTTTTTTTACGTTTTTATCGTGAATTGAGTGATCGTTTACATGGAAGAACATTGGTTTTACACTTGTTTCATTGCAATGGTTACAGTCTCCTCTATGCTTCATCATTCAACAGAATTTGCTTCTGTTTCCTTTGTTGTTGTTTTTTGGTGTGTGGGGGATGTACACAAAAACAGTCTTTCTCTTTCCATGAGTTTAGAGTATGATGCATCCTTTTATGGGCACTCAGAAATAACTTGTGGGATACATTGAGAGCAACCAATAGCTAGCATTTAAGCCTATCCAGTCTTGTCTTAATAACTTGACTACAAAAAGGGAAGTGTGACATTTACAGGACAGTGAAGTCCAGCACAGTTAGATTTCACTTAAGAAAATGAGATCATTTTGTATGTGTTGTTTTATTAATGTATCAGTATATGTTTTTAAAACAATGATTTCATCATTGGTAAAAAGATATACATCATATCATACACCCATTCAGCAGTGTCTGCTTGTACAGTTCATTGTCATTGGTTACATTCTTCATGTTGTGTCACCTGTCTTACTGTCTCATCCCATATTGTCTGATCATGTTTGATTTAGACAGACTGTCCTGTAAACTATGCTTTAGAATTACTGTTGTCAGTTTTGGAAACTGACAACAGTTTTCAAATCTGATATGTTTAAAACATTTAATGACTGAATAACATTCCATTTGTTGATATACCAGAGTTTAGATTATTTTCCTTTGCTGGAATCTTAAGTTCTTTTTTAATAAGCATCCTTTGTATGCTTTTGACACATGGCCAACTGCATTTTTTAATAGGCTAGTTGCTTATCCATAACATCTCTGAAGCTGAATGCCACCTTATTATGTACATGAAACTAAAACAAGACACAGTGTGAGGTACCTATTGTGAAAGGGCTGTTATATATGAATTCCAGTGTGAACTGGGCATCCCACCAAATTCTCTAAGCATATCAGTTTAAAGGACTAGGAGCTACTAGTACAATATCTAACCTAAAGTAGAAATTTGAACATTGGTGCAATTGATAATGATACATATGCCTTCAGGACAAGAAGGTAATGTGCAAATACTGTGCTCGGGTGTTGGGACATTGGTTGATGGTTCCCCCAATCCAGATATCTTCTGTTGTTTTTCCAGTAGCATTCTTTAATCCACAGTGTGTTTTGTGGTAAACAGTTCAAATTTTGCCTCAGCAGGTAAAGCTAAAACATGTTTTTCTAGTTGGAAAATAATCTTGCTGAACTCCTTATGGGAAAACCAGTGTTCATTACATTTGTGGTCATTTTTGATCCTTGAACCAGCTCTACCTGTAAACCAAATATACTCTTTATTTCTGAGTGAAATGTCACTTCCCAAACATAAAAGCAAAACTCTCAGGCTTGATATTAATTTACTTATATTGTCAAAGTTTTGTTTTCCTTCACCTTCCTCCCCTCCCCTTCGGTTGGTTTAACACCCACCCTACTTCATTTCTTATACTTTGGACATATTGTCAGGAGGGACCAGTCTCTGGAGAAGGATATTATGTTTGTTAAGGTGGAGGAGGGTCAGATAAAAAGAGGAAGACCCCCTTTTTTGAGATGGATTGGCCAAGTGGCAGCATTGATGGACTTAAACGTGGCAACAGT